AGTGGGGGGGGGGGGCGCACCGTCCCGGCTGGTGTTGTGGTGATCTGGGAGAACCACTCCTCCACTTGCAGCTGCTGGTGGGCCCCTGGGTCAGTCACAAGTTCTCTCAGAGCTGTTCTCCCAAGGGCAGTTCTTGGGAGAGCTCTCTTAGCCCCACCGACCTCACAGGGTGCCTGTTGAGGGGAGGGGATTGTGAACGGCTCTGAGACTCCTTTGGGTAGTGAAGGACAGGTTACAAATCCAATCTCCTCCTGCCCTGGACAGACCTGGACCCACCACTGCTTGGCCAGCCTCTCACCTCCCCCACGGAGTCATACAGGAAGCCCTGTCCTTCGGAGTGGGCCAGCCAGCCCCTCGCCCTGCGTGGTCAGTTGCGCAACACTCAGGAATGCGGTCCACAACTGCCTGGCGGGTGAAGGGAAGAGGCGGAGCACCCCCTCCCCCCTGCTGTGACGCTGCAAGGGCAGGCCGAAGAGCCGAGCGCTCGCGAGTGGGAGTGAACCGGGGTGGGCCCAGGGCAAGTGAGACGCCAGAGAGTCCCGGAGCAGGATTTCCCCCTTTTATTGGCTATAGTGCGCCACAGGCAAGCAGAACGTTGGGGCAAGAGGTGAGGCGCTCCAGGAGAGGGCGCTCAGGTCCGGTTCCTGGCCGTGGGAGCGCTGCACGGGCGCTTGCTGAAGTTGGTGAGGATCTGGTGCTGCTGCGGACGGGAGGGAACCACGAAACTGCTGGGTGGGAGGAGGCCCAGCCCGTTGGCATCCACCTTGCCCATGAAGACGTAGCTGGCCCCTGCAAGGGACGAGAAGCGGGACACTTCAGGGCAGCCCAGGGAGCTGCACGGCCTCCGGTCCTGGGCGTGCCCCGCGGGGTCAGTCTGTGATGCCCACCCCCCTCTCCAGCAGCAGCCCTCCAGGGCCACCCCAAGGACTCAGGGCCCTGCGGAGGAGGAGGAGGCCTGGAGCACAGCGGGGGGTCCAAAGGCTCCCGGGTGCCTCCCCCACCGGCACTCACCTTTCTTGAGGACGGGGCACTGTCTGCAAGGCACTTCCAGGCGGAGGACGGCATCGCTGCCGGGGGTGGGCGGGAGGCTCAGGCCGCCCGCCTTGTAAGTGTTCGTGAGCAGCACCATGGCGGTCACTCTGCTCCCGGCCCCTCGCGTGACTGTCTTCACTGTCCCCGTGATCACTGCACCAGCCGAGAGAAGAGAAGGCCGGGGAATGAGGAGGGCCCTCCGGGAGGGGCAGGCCTGCCTCGACGTAGGGGCCACTCCCATGCCCTGGCCGCTTCAGCCCCTGCCTGGCTTAGCCACCCACTCGGGCAGAGCTGGGGGGGTGGGGGGGTGTCCACATGCACTGTCGCACTATAAATTCAAACCTAAGTATGTGAAACAGACACACACACACACCCCACACACACATCTATATATCCACGGGCACCCGTCCATGCGCCCAAACAGCTCACCAAAATCGCTGGTGCAGAAATTGCTCTGCAGAGTCCCTGTCCGGCGGCACTGCTGTGGGCAGACGGCATCACCTGCGGGTGGCGAGAAGGTCTTCATGACCACTCGGTGGCTCCCAGCAGCGCTCCAGGGCCCTCCCAAGGGTCAGAGCTCTGCACGTACTGGGGGGCCCCCCGAGCCAGAAAGCCCCCCTCCCTCTGCCCATAACCCCCCCACACACACAACACACAGCACGGCCTGCTCGCCAGGCTCTGCCGGTGCCTCCCGCCGGGCTCTCTTACTGGGGCTGGCCACCGTGGGCACTCCGCCGTTGGGTCTTGGTTTCGGGACGGGTGGGGGTTTGGGGCGCCCCGCTGGCTTGCTGGAGGGCTTGGGCTTGGGTGGGGCAGGTCTGCTGCCGTCTGGCCGAGCCGGCTTGGTGCCTGGGAAGACGCGGCTGGGAGGCTTGGGAAGGGCTCCGTCCACCAGCTCGTTGCGGCTCTGCACCACCACGTAGGAGGCGGAGAAGCCATCAGCCGTGACGCTGAGATCCGAGACAAACTGGACCAGCAGTTCATTTCCATCTGAGTAGACGGGGCTGGAGAGGGAAGAGGGAATGAGGCGCTGTCCCCCCTCTGGAGCCAGGACTTCCCTCTGGCAGGCCGCCTGCCCCCCCCCCCGAGCCTCAAGGCTTCTTTCTCCCCCTGCCCAGAAACCCTGAGGAGGAGCGATTGCAAAAGGACACCCCCATCCATCCCTTGGCAAAGCCTGAGCTGCTCGCCCCTCCGTCGGTTCATTTGGCCAAGCATGGGGTGAGGGTGAGGGTTTAATGGCTATTATTCATACACATTCTCAGACTTCCTTGGATCTGTCTCATCATGGCCCAAGTTGGGAGGCTCAGGCCTTCGGTCCCAAGGAGCCCTTTGGCCCACGAACATGCCGGCCTACCTGGGGGACTGGTCTCCACAGAACTTGCCGATTCGGTGTGAGTCGTCCCGGTCAGCCCCGTTGAAAACCGCGACGTAGTCGTAGCGGCAGTAGGTGTCCGGCTCCACGTCAAACTTCCCGAAGGTCAATGCCACCACCTGGGCCATGCAGAGACAAGGAGTCCAACTCCCGTCCCAAAGCAGTGCAGCCCCCCCCCCGAAGCCCTTGGGAAGGGGAGGCGAGTGCAGGTGAAAGGGGGAGGGCCCTGGGTTGTCCGGGAACTGGGGAGGGGTGAGAAGGTGGGGAGGCTGGGTGCCAACTCCCCTCTCCCTCACCTTGTCCTTTGGGGCAACGATGTGCCAGGAGCAACTGATGCCCGGGGGGTAGTCGGTCTCCGGCCAGTTGGGTGTCTTGAGGGTGCCCTGGGGCTTCTCCAGTTTCCCTCCGCAGAACTGGTTCTCTGCAGCCGGAAAGAAAGAGCGGAAGTGGAGGGCAGGCTCAGCTAAGAGTTCGCAAGGGCAAGCCCGGAAGCCCACGGGGGCAAACGCTTCTTGTTCAAAGAGGGAAGGCAGGCCGGGGGGGGGGGGCCTGTGAAGGAAGGAAGGAAGGAAGGAAGGAAGGAAGGAAGGAAGGAAGCCGAAGCAACACATGCAACCTGCCCCCCCTCCCCGCTGTCTGTCTCTCTCTCAAATCTCTTCGAGCGTGGGGGTGGGGAGGGAGTGTTACCGATGCGGCCCACTGTCCTGATCCAGTGTAGGTTCGGGAAAAAGTGTGCAGGAGAACACATCTCTTTCGGCACAAGCCCCTGAGATTTCTCCACAGGTGAGCAAACGTAGCCTAATCTTGCAGCTGCCCTTCTCTGCGTGCAGTCCCCTCGGCTGGAACTCTCTGCCAGCAGACACGCCCGTGCATTAACCAGCCCCCCACGAGGTGGTAGGAAGCACGAGGAGACACACAAATCCTGCATCACGCTCCTCCTGTGGCAAACGCAGGGCCAGGCTGCCTGCTCGATCTAGGCCTTTGTAACAAAACTCTCTGGACACTTTTGCGCAGGCACCTCGACCCCCGTGCAAAAGGTTGCCACCACCGGTGGGCTGGGAAATGGCTGCTCGCTCGCGGGCAGGCCTAGCGCTCCTCTTTCCTGGCCGAGTCTTCCTTTTCCTGGAACGGAGGACTCTAGACCAAACATGTCTCCAGTCCTGCCCTCCGCACCAGGGCCTGCTGTGTGGGCACTGGGGACCGGTCACCTCTCCGGGCTGGCTGCGCCCCACCAGTGATCCAAGCCCTAGCAGCCCCCCCTCCCCCCGGGAAACGCAGGGAGGGGATTGGCGGGGAGAGGCTGGGCCGGCCTCCTCTGGTGGGACTGCTGCTTGCTCTGCAAACCCC